CCCTAGTAAAGAATCTTAACTTAGTGTCTTAGCAAGGAATATTAAGCTTAAAACCTTCTACACTTAATAACTATTCTATTAATAGGCCTATAATATTATTTAATAGCTTATTTTAAAGAGGAGACTTAGTAGTATATTAATATAATAAAAGTATAGTTTATTAAGCAGAGCTACTATTATAGTAGGATTAGGAGTTATTATAGCTATTATAGCTGTTAGGACTATTAGAGCTATTAGCTTAAAATTAGCTAGACATTAAATGCACATTAAATAACTATTATAGGCCTACAAGTCCTACTTTTGCCTATAGTATAATGCCATAATTTCCTAATTTCGACAACGGAAAAACTTTTCCTGATGTAGCTAGCTTAATTATGTTAGGCTTGCAATTGTGTTGTGAAGTAGTTCTAGCAAGTTAGTTACTAAGGATGCTTTAAGACATGTTGTAGATTGCAGCAGCGCGTTGCTAGGAGAGTGTCGCGTCTTTTTGGATAGCCTATAACGTACTCCACAAGCGAGTGACCGGCACAAGCGAGTGACCGGGTTTTGCCAAGACTACACCAACACTGTACCTACTTTGCAACATTATAGCACACAACAACAATATATTATACTATACAGTATATAGAACTAGTCTATAGTACTCTGCGCATCTTTACTACATGTTCGCGCGTTGTGCCCTGTCTTGCTACATGTGCCACAGCGCCTTAGAGACTAAGTGCTCCCATTAATGCGCGACCTCTTCTTTGCCTTCTTCCTATCACTACAGGCCTTAAACTCCTTTAGAGTAGTTAGCTGCACTCCCTTAGCAAAGGTTAGAGTCCCCTCTTGCTATACTTGCTTCCTTTTGTGTGATTTACAACGTGTAGCTGCCTTATTAGCTGCCTGTAGGTCAGCAACCTGGTTACGCACTAAAACTAGTGAATGCACTATTAGCTCTGCGCCTTTAGTGAGCTAATTAAGAGCATTAACTAAAGATATTAGTAAGCTATTAGCATGTCTCTAAATCCTCTCTTAAATTAGCTTTAATTAAGACCTAAATTCTAGCGTATTACTTAGTATTTTAGACTCCTACGTACTGTTGTCTATAGTAGGTGGCGTTAGTGTGTATAGTTATACTTTAAGCTTTAATATTATAGTTTCTAGGTTAAATAGGACTAGGCCAGCACCTCTAAATCCTCCCTAGATGTTACTCTCTGTAATTAAGGCGTTAAAAGCTGCTTTAAAGCATAGCAAGAACTTAAGTTTAGTAATACGCGTAATCTTGCTACGCATCAGCTACTTGGCTTGGCAGCTATAGGCCTTCTTTAACAGAGAAAAACAGCCCATATCAAGTGGCTGCAGTAGGTGCGACGAGTGTGGAGGCATACACAGGGTACTAATCTTGTGTTCCTTGCAGTACTAGTGGAATTTAACTAAGTTGTGGCTCTTGTGGCCGTCTAGAATGAGCAGCTAATAGCTGCCAACAGTGCGCGCCTTTGTGTGCTTATTAAAGTGCTTTAACGTACCCCACAGGCGAGTCGGACACACGGGCGAGTCGGACACTTTTGCCAAGACCCTACCAAAACACCCTTACTACACCAATGCCTCTCCACAAACGCCAGTCAGACGCGTTAAAAGAAGCTCAGATACAGCTTGCGCTTCAAGCTCTTAAACAAGACACAACTCTCTCTCTACAGCGCGCTGCAGCTATCTATAGAGCTCCCCTACAGACACTAAGCGACCAACGCGCTGGACGACCTTCACAAGTTAATTCTATGCCTAAATTACAGAGCCTAACCAATACTGAGGAGCAGGTGATTGTTAATTATATACTTGAGCTAGACGCGCAAGGATTTTCCCCTTAGCTAGCAGCTGTGGCTGATATGGCTAATTCTTTGCGCGCTAAGCGCAGTCTAGGCTATGTTGGCCTAAACTAGCCTAGTACGTTTGTTAAGGGCTAACTAGAGCTCAAAGTGAAGTTTAATCGCAAGTATGACTATAAGAGAGCCCTCTGCAAGGATCCTAAGATAATCTAGGGCTAGTTTAGCCTAGTAGCTAATATTAAAGCTAAGTCTGGCATCTAGGATAATAACACGTACAACTTTAATAAGACAGGCTTTATAATAGGCTAGATATCTACTAGAGCAGTTGTTACAGCTTTAGAGAGACAAGGATAGCTAAAGCAGGTCTAGCTAGGCAATTAGGAGTAGATAATAGTTATTAAGGGCATTAATGCTAAAGAGTAGGCTATTCTGCCCTTTATTATCTTCTAGGGCTACAACTACCTCTTAAACTAGTATAAAGAGGATAATCTACCCTATAATTAGGTTATTAGGGTCTCTTAGAATAGCTAGACTACTAATAAACTTAGTCTTAACTAGTTAAAGCACTTTAATATGTATATAAAGGAGTGTACTATTAGTAGCTACTATCTCCTAGTTATTAATAGTTATAAGAGCTATAACTTACTAGATTTCTAGGAATACTACAAGGATAATAAGATTATTACTGTATATATACCTCTACACTTATTATATCTCCTATAGCTACTTAATATAGGCTATTTTGCCCCTCTAAAGAAGGCGTATAGGTGCTAAGCTAAAGACCTTTTACATAACTAGATTAACTATATTATAAAGCTTAAGTTCCTGCTATACTTTAAAGTAGCCTATAATACTATATTTACCTTAAGTAATATCTAAGGAGGGGTCTAAGGTGCTAGACTAGTCCCCTTTAACCTAGAATAGGTTATAATAGGGCTTAATATAAAGCTGCACACTCTATTACTATAACTCCCTAATAATAGCAAGCCCTAGTAGTTATAAACCCCTAGCAATACCCTAGAACTTTAGTTATAATTAACTCTAATTTAAGAGAAGCATAAGAAGCAGCAGGGTAGCTCACCTAATTTTGTGCTGAGCGCGCTTGAGCACTACGCAAAGGGGGGAGCGATTCTATTGCACAAGCTAGTTTTGGCGCAACAGGAGAACGCTGAGCTTCACACAGCTCTAGCAGCTGCCACAGAACGTAAATCGCGCAAAAGAAAGCAAATCTAGAAGGAAGGGACCCTTACAGTCAAGGAAGGGCAGCAGATAGCAGCTCTAAAGGAGTTTAGGGTATGTGGTAATAGAAAGAAGTTAAAGAAGCAGGTGCGCGCTAAAGTAGGTGAGCCATCCTAACAATGCTGTAGATAGTACAATCAGACTAGGCATAACGCGCAAACGTGTAAGAATAATACAGAAGTAGTCTCTAAATAATATTCTAAGCTGTACTGCACCTTGCAGCGCCAGAGTGTGGTGTTTTGGGCCATAATAGGGTGAGGTTTAGTAGGGTCTTGGCAAAAGTGTCCGACTCGCCCGTGTGTCCGACTTGCCCGTGGGGTACGTTAACTACTTAACTCTAAGCTTATTATTAGTCTAGCTATTATTAGAGATATTAAGAACCTAGTTATTAGGTATACTAGGCTCCTTATACTAGGCAGAGAGGTGGTGCTTGCTAGAGAAGATAATAAAGGGTGGGATAGACTAGCCCTTCGCGCAGATGCCTTAGATAATGCTGGTCTACTCTTAGTCGCCCTGCTGCACTGCCTTTAGTCTCCCTTAACGCTTAGAGCCTGTAACAACAGCTCCTATTAATATAACACCTATTATAAAGCTAGACTTATTAAAGTTGTAGGTGTCTTTATCTTATATACTATACTTAGCTTTAGTATTCTCTACTAGTTAGAACTAGGCTGGCGGAATGGGTATACTCCAACGTCCTTCGTGGGTACCCCCCAAAACTTTGTCAATAATACATGGATTCTAGCGAAATAGGGCTTAAA